TCCAGATACATCTATGCTGACACACACTGATGTATCATCTGGTCTGACCCTGCTCTCAGGGAAGCCAGGAACATCTTCCTGACTGGTTTTACAAGAACAAGAGCTGGATTGAAAATGCTTTCCCTAGGAAAAAAAATGGAAGATTTAAAAATGCCAAAATTATCAAAAAAAAAAAAAAAAATCCTAATCTATCAGATCTACCACTTTGGGGAAACAKAAATTTCAAAGGATTCTCAGAGGACTGAGACTTCACCAGAGCAGAGCACCAGAGCTGTGAGCAGCACAAGCGAGAGACCAAGCTAATTGCTGCTCCTGTTCCTCGGTTTCATCTGCTCTCCTTGGTGCTCAGCAATTTTATCCAGTTTATTTCAACAGAAGTTAGTTTGTTGGCATTCCCATAGACATGGACAYCGCACAGATTTGTTTGTTTATTTTGCCATGGACAATGCAGCAGTTTCCAACAAGATGTTGCTAGAAAGCTCCTACCTAAACGCTTGACCAAGGCCTTCATTGCAATGAACCCTCTTTTTGGCTGATGACATGGGAAGCAGAACCCAGTTCTGTAGGCAAAATCTGCCTGCAAACTCACATTTGGTTCTCCTGAAAGAGTCTCTTAGGTTCTCATGTTGTTGCTAAGAAGTGAAAAATGAAGGACAAGTCAAATTCTTTAAATTGTGGTTTTGGACAAGTAGTTAATGCAATTGGCCTTGCCCATGTAACACAATGTAATAGTGCAACGTGTTCAGAGTAGCTCCTACTGGTTTCGAGGGGATAAGAAAATAAAATCTACAGAAGAAAAAAATCTTCTATTTTGGTATACTTAACACATACAGTTATCTACGTGTCCTACATATCATTTAACAAATTGCTTTGCAATTCTTACAGGGCGTGGTATAATGACTGATTTAAAATCACTGCATTGCTTAAACTGCATTGTTCTTCATCAAGTTGAGTCATTTTTATGTGAAGTGTCAAGCTCTCTAACAAATAACTGCTGCCAGACAAATCAAGTTCCTCATCTTAAAGCTACGGCTAAATAGTTTATAGCTTTAATCTGCTCACTGAGGTGTGCAGTCTATGACAGTAATTATAAATGCAAGGAGAAATTATAGCTGAATGCTTTAACTGCATTAGGAGCCATTTGATGAACAATCATGATTGCCTGCTCATTTTCAACAATAGAGGGCAAGTTAGTGTCAGTGCATTAGAGGATTTTTAGTTCTGCTCTGCTCTTTCTTCCATTTACCACAGAATGTCAGTTGTCTCCTATAAAGTAGAAAAAAAAAAACCCTGTAGAAGCTTTAAACTTGATGGTTAAAAAAAGACAAAGGAGAAAACAGAGAGAAAAACTGTTTATCATTATGACTCATTTTTTTTTTTTTTGTTTTGCAGCAGCCTTACTTTCAAATTAGTTCATTTCAGGTAGTTGCTTGTTTATTTAGCAGGGTCTTTTGAAAAAAAATCTCCCCATCCAAGTTGGTAAATTTAACACTATAGAGGCTTATTTTATTAAAAAGATGTAGATAAGATGATGGAGAGCCTCGGTGACTGACCAGTTTACAGTCAATCTTATCACCTGTCTTTAAAGTAGAAATATAATTCTGCATTGTCTTTTGTAAGGACAACAAAATTTTTCTAATTTACTCGAAAAAAYGAACAAATGGTTTTCAAAGAAATTAGCTCTACTTAAAACCATGTTCCCTAATGTTCATGGGTTTTCTTTGAAGAACAGCAATAAAAACAAATTTGAAGTGGGTTAAATGAAAGAGAATAGAGACATCTGATCATTGTATATAACACATAATTTTACATTATATTACCAAGCCCATATCAGTTAGAAGAACTCAATAAAACAGCAAAGATGAATATAAAACACATATGTATGTCTTTACATTTAACAAGAATTGATAGCAAACTTCGTATAAACAGTCTCACAATGGTCTTAAAAAATCTATATACATAACATATTTTCCTATAGTACTAAACCAGATCATTCATTTATATTTTTAATGATATTTACCATTTTCAAATATGACTTTTAACAGTAGCTTTCATTGCAATACAGAATGTATTTTATGTATGTGCTTCGAATACTCTTTCCACTATGTTATTTCCATTTATTTCCACACATTTTTCTATTTTTATTTTGCTACAATATTGCATAGAATAAGTAAATGTGGATTTGTCGGTGTGCTTTAAGAATCTCAGTATACTTGATTTCTCCTGTTTCTAAATACTTTGCTCTCCTGTATGCTATTATTCAAATGTATACTGAATCTTAAAAATAACATGGTAAGAATAAGTAAACTCTAAAAATCCCTGTTATTTGATTTAGTCTCCTTCCAGATCTCAGGAAGAAACCCACATGAATAAACTCTGGCCTCCACACTTCTAGCAGTCAGAACTTAGGTAAGCTTACAGCTCCAAAACTGTAATAAAATCTTTACAATGCTATCCAAAATACCCCATCATTTCATACAATTTGTGCTATCATGCATACCAACTAAAATTATAGTTCCAGATAACAGTGCTATCACTCTGTCATTGCAATTTAAATATATTTTTCAAAGGTAAGACACAACCTGCATCCTGATATAAATTAGAAATGGATGAGGACTGAGGGAAGAGCAATTTCTGGGTACCCAAAGGCAGGTAGGACAGTACCTTATTGATGTAGTTATATATTACCTGAATAATATCAGAGATGTGTCCATGTAGGACATTATAATGCAGAAACCACTCTCTTCCCTTGGGGATTTTTTCCTTTGTGTTTGTTCCCCAAATCCCAAGGGACCGTATCATGTTTATAAAGGTGGGTGTTTGGTTTGCATCTGAATAATAACACAGTGCTTTTAATACCAAATCTGTAACATTTGTCAGGTACTAAGCCATGAATATGCCAAAATAACTGTTATATTAATATATTTGGCAGATAGCTTTTGTTGAAAAAATCCAAATTATTGGTTTGCTCTCATATCTCTTGTGTGAAAACTATGAATGTCACAGTTTTAATAATCATTAACTGATGGGGAACAAAAGGAAGTATGGTATATTTTTTTTCCCAACCAATCACTTGTAATTTTTTTGACATTTTGGCAGGTATATTGATTCTGAGTGGTTATAAAATAGTTAGGTGGCAAATCAGTTATTATCAGATAAAACAAAGAACATTTATTCATCCTATTCAGAGTAGATTCTAAAACTGGGTTAAAATGCCAAAATAAAACTTAAGGATATTAGCTCTATTTATAAAATAAATTCCCTTTAAGTCATAGTTAATTTTGCTGCATAAAATATATAGAAAAGGTGACTCCAGTCAAATGCAGAAAACCTGTACGAGACATATGCAAAACTTAAATCCTACTGCCCTTGAATACTGATGTTCTGCACTATAGTAACAGCTTCCATCACCCATCCCAAAGTAACCCTTTGATTAGTAGTTTAAATTATTCAAAAGTAGCTTTTTTTAATGGGGCTTAAGTGATGCATAGTCTTCATGCTGCCTCTGTACAGAAAGTGTTTCTTAAAGCTTCATGAATATTTGCAGCAAACAAATGTGAAATCTTCACACAAACGGGAATCCAGCTCGAAGCGCTCGCACCCTCAATKAGCCGGAGAATAGCCACAATAGCAAGTGGCCTAAGTGACAACTCACAACACATCCTTAATTTTGACTACGTCTGACAAATTCATTTTCCAAATGTTATTCAAGCGATGAAGCACTGGAAAAAAAGCTGAATCTGCCCATGTTTTTTTTTTTTTTTTTTCTTTTCTGTTGAGCAGAAACAGACCCTGAAATTAACTGCAGAAATTGTTGGGGATGATTAACAGAGCTGTGATGGTGATAAATTTCTTAGAAAGAAACTTCTTTGGGGACTTTTAGTTGATGTTCTCTATATTTTAATCAAGGCAATGCACATTTGTGGTCTAAATAAATTAAAAATGCAAACATTGTGTGTCATCTGAAGAGCACGTTATGTGTCATAAACATTGGTTGTGGCAGCACTTTGCTTGGTGTCTCTTTCAGCAAAAACATAGCAACACTAATGCAGAAGCCTCCTATTAGCAGATCTTTGACATAGTAAGTTTGTAAAAATTCTAGCTACTACCTTAGTTAAGCCTAAAACAAAACAGGTTATAGTGAAACTTGCACTTAAGGTAGTGATGTTTTATGCATTGACTGGCACCCCCATCAACATCAAACACAAAATAAACATCTTGAAGAATAAAAATGCATTGTACAGAGACGTGATAGAAAGGTCATCCTAACGTGATGCAACCAAAAAGGCCACTCACAGCAGAAATAAGGGGAGCTACTAAAATATGTCACAAAATCGAGTATCCAAATAGCACAGAAAGAAGCGCATAACTGTTAGGCAAAAGCTTTTCATAGTTATTAGAAGATCCTTCAGGCTTGGTTTTAGATTATGGATTATTTAAGACTTTGCTAATTTGCTATTTGCATTGCCTTTCCTTTTTTTTCCCCACCAAAACCAGATTTACTGGGAGAGGTGTAACACCTTTGGTGGCAGGAAAAGGTGCTCTTTCCTGCTATTTCCATTCTCAATGCAAAGAGAAGTTTCACTCCACAGGATGTGAAGAAATTAGCTCTTAGAAAAGAGAGCGAGAACTGGGAGAACAGCTATGTTGAAATGAGTAATAGGCAACCTTTCTATATAGGGCAATGTAGCTAAGCATTTATCAAGCTCTCTTCTTGAAAACATTATAAAATGGATATGTACATGTAATTAGATGAATGAAGCGGCAGTACATTATACATTTTATAGCGTTTTCCTACATTTAAGAAAGTACAAATGTCTCAAGAGTCCTCCTTAAAATGATGAAATTAAAACTCACTATAGAGCATGCATACCTTAAGAGTTATTCTTCATCCACTTCTGCTACAAATTGTGAATGGTGTTCTGGTGACTTGCTGTGTGTTTTGCTTAGATGAAGTTTTACTGCGTGTTTGCTCGCAAAAGTCCGACAGCACAACTTACATTTGAACTTAGAGTCTGTGTCCTCTTCTCCAGCTATTGTTTCAGGAGATCTTTGAACTGAAACTCTGGAGATTTCTTGCTCTACCTTGGTTTGCTGCTCCACTGCCAGTCTGTTCATGTCTTTCATTTGGAAACCTAGGTGAGATTCTAAGTGGCTAATGTAAGTAGATGGGGTTCGAAACTGAGACGCACAGTCGCTGCAATAAAAGATCGGATGCCCTTTGTCCATGTTTTTCAAAAACTTTGTTCCTCCAGTTTTCCTAAGTTGGTACTTGACATTTGCCAACCAATGGCTAATGGTGGTCATTGACAGTCCAGTAAATTTTGAAATTTGCATGCGCTCTTGTGGGCCTAGATCTGATAATAAATATTTACCTTCGGAAGTCTGAAAGAGACTGGAAGCAAACTGAGCTTGCAAAATAAGAAGATGCTGAGGATTCCAGTTTGACTGTCTGCCCTTCCTTTTATGCAGAGTAGAGACTTCTGTTGAGACATCCTCAAAGCGTCGGACATCTATTTCCAATTTCATAGATGGGATTCTTGAAGATGCAGCAGGTTTTGGTGTAGTAGCTTTGGGAAGAACTTTGACCATGTCAGCAATGTCAGAAAGAGCATGTTTCTGAGGTGGAGAAGTGCAAGATTGTGCTTGAGCTGACTCCGCTTTCTTGCCTTTAGATTTGGTCAGATCAATAGGCTGATCATTGTTTTCAAATAGATAGTGCCTGGACACACTTGCAGGCTTTGGTGGGGTTGGCGCAGGAGATAAAACTGGCTTCTCCATCATATTTAAATTAGGTTTGTGGAAAATAGAAATTGTGCTAGAGCTGGGGCTGGAGTTGGATTGGGGCCGTAAAGGTTCAGTGGCTTTGCCCAAGTGATTATTCAGTACAGACTGGAGGGCACTAAGTGGGTTGACACAAGGCAGTTCAGAGGAATGGTTGGCAGCAGCACAACCATTACTAAGAGAAGCTGCTGTTGATTCCTTGAGGACTGTTTTTTCTTTTCCACTGTCCTCTTTTATTTTGTCCTCTTCTTTCAAGGGACATGGTTCTGTCTTTTTTTGCTCCACAGAGGCTTCACATTTGAGGGGAGGTTCTCTTTCATTTTGACAGAGTGGGGCAGGTTCAGCTTGGATACCGTCTTTAGCATAGTCTTTTAGTACATCTTCTTTGTCCTCAGTTTCCTTCTTCACTTGAGTGCACTGGGCCACATTTGCTGAGATAGGGACCACGGGCATGACCTTCCACTTTGGAGCGATGGGCCTCAGTTTATTGGTGATTGTTGGCCTGATTTGGAGCACTTGGGAACCCGCAGGCAAAGACGGCTTAGCTCCTTCTGAAAGCTGATAAGCTGCATGGATACTAGGGTATGCACTCCAGCTGGGAGCTCCATTTTGAGCTTTATTGATGGCTGTTGTGACAGTGTTCTCCAGTGACTTTAAAATGTCCCCACCACCCTTTGAACCATCCTCTAAATCTTCTTCTCGGAGGTACTGGTATTTCATTGTAGGATCCAGTGGTTTCTGAAGTGTGTCTTCATACTCTTCAGTTTTCACCACTTTTTCATCCTTGTTTATATCATCAGTCTTATCTTTTTTAGCTTCCTTTTTTAGTTCAGAGGTGGGAGTTATGCATTCTGAAGATGATTTACTGGTTGTTTTTGAAACCGGGCTGTCATTGGCTGGTGCTTCAGACAACGTTTGCATCTTTTCCACAGCTAAAGGATCCAAAACTAGTTGCTTTCCCTTTTTTGAAGCCGAACTTGTGACTTTCAAAAAATGTCCAGTGACCATCATATGGGTAGTAAGTTGCTGCAAGGTGTCATGTGAGCTTCCACATTCCATACACTTCAAAATCTGGGATTTACAGGCCTCAAACTGCCATGTGTAGCTGGCACCGTTTTGATAGCCATACCGGTTGTTAGATGGTAACTGCAGGTTTGCATTCTTCTGAGGGGAGAAAGTATCGGAGAAAGATCCCGTTGTGGAATCGGGGGAACAAGGCCTGTTAACATCAAACACACGTTTCTTTGCAGGAGTGACCATTTTTGAAGAAATGGTTGGTACCGGCTCCTTCAAAGGCACTTTTTGGTAATGTTTTGTTTTTATCATATGAACACTCAGATCTTGAAGGGAATCAAAAGAGTCACCACAGAACATACATTTAAGAACTTTTTGTGCATCTTCCTTGTCCATGTCCTGGAATGCCCTTTTTCGGGGCTTTGAGTAGCTGGTAGGTCTGTGCTTGTCCTTTTTATGGTTGTCATCTTGGTAATGACCTGTTTCATTCATATGAACCGTTAGTTCCACCAAAGTGTCGTAGGCAGCACTGCACTGCCTGCACCTAAACCTGCTAGCACCTGTGAATACAGCTCCACACATTTTGCTGCTCTGCCTGTAGAGCTGGACTGAACTGAACAGGTTAGGTTTTGAGACAGGTCTGGAAGGTAAATTCTGTTGTAAGCTTTTTGACAATGCATCTTGGTGCCAATCAAAATCAGCTTTGTTACCTCCATTTCTGTTGTCACAACTTCTCTTTTCTGAGTTAGACAACTTGAAACCCAACCCTAAGCCTGTCCAATAAGAGTCCGACAGTATGTTGGCATACACTGCTGTCATTTTATCCATGCAGTCATGTGCTTCATGCTGGGCTTTGGGGTGGGCGCTGGTTTTTGGATCCTGTGGCTCTCTAGAGCAAATGCTTTTAATATCTGTCACGTGGTCGCTGCCATCACTCAGTAGCGATTCATTTTCTGCATCTTGATTAGATATATGACTGACTGGAGAATTCTGGTAACTGAAGTTCCCTTTTGGCTCAGGTCCCACTTCATGTTCTTCATCTGTACCTGTGTCATTGCTGCCCTGAAGCTGAGCAGTTGAATTGTTGTCATCATCATCTTCTTCCTCCTCCTTTATGTCTTCCTCTTCCTTTAAATCTTCCTCTTGGACGTAACCTGAAATGTAATGTCAATAAATGAAATAAAATGTTAAGGGAGAATACTACAGTTTCAGGTTTTTATTTTCACTATGCTCTTTCCTCACTGAACTTCACTTTAATCTACAACTTTATTGTCTGTTAGTACTGGAAGTGAAAAGAGTCAAATGATGTCTCTTTTTGTGAAGGTTGCTGCATTTTATTGGCAGATGATCATAATTCTTTACAACTGCCAGAGATTCTGAGTTAATAATTTTCCTGTCAAAGGAGTATAATTCTAACTGTCCTGTAGTGGGACAGTTGGAAAATTTGTACATAAGAATTTTAAGTTTATACTAAAAGCTTCAATTCTATCAAATTGTTTTGAGCCTCAGTGAAATAAAGGGTAGAATTGGCAAGGAACAGGAGAAAAATAACTGCCATAATCTTTTTGGTTCATAGAAGCATCTAGGTACAGTAATCTTTTGCCATTTGGTCACCTAAAAAAAGCACTTTAGATCTAGACAAATAATTTATGTGTCAAAATACAACATCTGAAAGAGCTAATAGGCTTCAGTGTAACTCTTTTGTTAAAGTAATATACTGTATGCGGTAAAACAAATTGTGTTTTGATTAAAAAAAATGCATATATATCATGGCAAGAACCTTGGAAATAACAGAAGAGTATTGGGATGTAACAGAGAGACCCCAAATTTAACTATAAAACTGAAAAAGTAGAACAAGTCCAGAATAATTTTCTTTGACAAATGAAGTTTAATTAATAAGAGGAATACTGGAAGAGTTTTAAATTTTAGAATTAATTAAGGAATTCAGTTATTTTTTCTTTTGGCTCTAAATCAGCAGTAATTCTACTGAAGTTACAGAGATAACTTGGTTAAAAACAGATGGGGAGAAAAAGATTCTTAAGGGTGAACTGGCTCTGTTGCAGTCAGTGGCTAAATCCCCATCGATTCACCGGAGTCAGGAATTCACTCCTAGACTCCCACAAGAAGTGACAGAGCAGAACAAGTAGTTCAGACATGTTTTTGCAAAACCCCAGTGTAATTTTTTAACAGCTATTGCAAAGCTATTATGTACAAGGCAAGCAGACACTGAAACAATTCGCTTTTATTGACAGCCACTCTTCAAAAGCAAATGTTGATTTCAGAAGTGCAGGTCTTTGTATGAGATATGTTTACATGTCCTGTCAGTTAGGAGCGAACCAAGTACTGCTAACCCTTGTGGCTGCACAGCAGTGCCACAAATATTTGCTTGTGTTTTCTAAGGCCTGGCTTCTTGTGTCAGGTAATTATGTTAAAAAAAAAAAAAAAATCTCAAAATCAAAGCTGTCACTAAGAGTAACCAAGTCRAAACATAATAGAACTCTTTTACTCATAACTGGGAAGTGGAGCTTGAAAACACAACCATAAAAGCTTGGAAAGCACAAGGCAAATGAGCCTAAAAGTGTTATTTATTTAAAATCCAGTTCCTTCTCATCTTATGAGAAAAACTCCCTTTTCTGAGGGCCTGGCTCATTTCGCTCTCTTGAATTTGGTATTCCCACACAAATGACATCCTTTTAGCTAATGAAAAGAGATGGAGAGAAAGGTAGAGGCATTTTGATTAAAATATGGAGAAAGCCTTCCCTGATTCCTTCAGATATGTGTTTCAATTTTTCAATCCATTTCAATCCATTTACATTTAAGGAGAAATGATCAGGGGAGAGTATCTCACCCCTCACTGCAAGTATTTACCATCAGGCCAAAGAAATGAAGCAGAACTTGAGAAACAGTTTCCTTGAATGAACCTGAAGTGTAAGCTCAGGGAAATGAGGACTCGCTGTGGCCGTGATACAAAATCCATGCGAGCCATCTCCTCCATTCCCACCGCTCTGGGACAAGTATGGACTGCACTGGCCTCAGAGCTCTGCTTGATTTATTGCAGGGATGATACCTGGCTTCACGACCRGAGGTAAAGAGAGATGCAGGGTTGCGTGAATGCTCTGGACACTATTTTAACAAAATAAAATAATAATCATGCAGTGCTGGGAACATTACGCATTGCAGCAGAAGCTTTCAGCAAAGAAGAACAAAGTGCTTTTTAAATATTGAACAAATGAGTCCTTTTACAGTGTGTTGGGGTACAGCAAATATTAGTAGCCCCATTTACAGATGATCAGACTGAGGCAGGCAGCAAAGATGGCACTGAGAATAAAAAATATGTATTTCACCTCCCTGCCCTTCTTCCCTAACAACTAGACAATAGTGTCCATSTGCCCCCCTTCTGAGCTTGTAATATTTAAGGAGGACAGGCAGAATGAGAAAGGAGGCGGCGAAAGCTCCTACACGTCATGAGCAGTAACCTTGTTAAACAACCAGCACGAACTGATGAGCAGGACTGACATTATTCTCGCGGTGTTAGAGATACTGTACAGCGTAGGTAGCAACGCTGGCCCCTTGCCAAGACGTATCACAGTGCCAAGCACATTACACTGAGCAAAACAAAAATAAGGAGGGGATCCAGTGAAGGAAGTAGACAAAACAGACAACAAATAGCATTCACACAGTTTTGGGTCAGAGCAAATTTGATTCTCTATTTCTGCACGAACTCTTTGAATACTATTAACCCATTTTTACAGGGAGGTCATTTTTTTCCCTTTGCAAGCTGCATACTGCGGTTTCTTCCTCACAATATTCTTTGTCTTTCTAAAAGGATTTACTAGAAGAAGCAGAAGTACCAGACAGCTGCTCATCCCCCACAATACAGATAAAATTTTCTGCTTAATTAGGCATTGACATGTTTACTATAACCTTTACAGAAGAGTAACTCGTGCTGAGAAATCTTTTTTTTTTTTTTTTTTTTTTTTTTTTTTTGTCTGCATTACATACAGACACAGTCTAATGAAAGGGGTAGTTGAAAGCACCATCAAAATTCCACAAAACCATCAGTCAGGTCCACATAGACGGTACAGGGTTCTAGGCAGCTTTGAAAATGCAGAAGAGTATCATATGTGTAAAACCATTTCTGTTTATTTAAATGATTTAAATTGCTGTGGGCATTTTAAGGACAGTGAAGACTTCTGTGTAGGCAGCCTAGGTGTACAGGAAACGCACGTGTCCTTCCAACAGTGCTGCTTAGCAAGACTTCACTGTATGTAAAGCTTGATGTGAACTGATGTAGCTATTTAACAGAAATAACATTAATTTAAGTGGACTTTGCAACATGTATTTTATAAGCTACATGTAAAGCATGTCTTAAGCCTACAGATTCGTATGTTTTAAATGCAGCGTCTGTAATAAGTAGTATGAATTTTGCACATCACAGTGATGTCCGTATAATAAATTGTTGAGTGACCTGTTCTCTTCTCACCAGTTCTCCCTCAGGCTTATTCTGACATTCCAAACCTCTGAGGTGCTCATATGGAGATGTCTAATAGAAAAAGAATTAAAAAACCCCAAACTTGGTAACCAGATGAATACCTCCTCCTTTCCTCACCTGAGAATTATTCCCACCAAAATCAAAATGGCCCAAACAGAGATATAAGTTTGTAGTCCTGAAGTGACAGACTGAAACTCTACTATCTTGAATAGCAGACAAAGTCTAGGAACTCCAGAGCATTAAATGGAAGCAATTTCTGGCATCTAAAATGGAAACACAGTATCTGGTTTTAATTCTGGTTGATGCTAGTATAGTATATCTCAAAATCATGACATCATTGTAGATAATTTTATTATATGGATAATAATCATTAGATAAAGTCCTATTTTTTCACTTTTTTTTTTTTTTTTTT